GCATGTAATACATAGAACGTTCCTCTCGTTACAGTCCAAATGCCGGCTAAGTTGCGTTCAAGGGTTAGCAATTGAAGAAGCAAGTGTAAGGTAGCATTGCGTAATTCTTTTGAGAATTTCGAATGATACTATAAATACGATTTTCTAAATTATTTCTAAATTGTATATTTAATAGGTGAAGATTTTCTCTTCCTCTTTTTTTTTTTTTTTTTTTTTTCTTTTTTTATTTATTTCTAAATAAAATCGATTATTAAAAATGTGAAGAAAATTATTGTAGAAGAAATAATTATTTCTTAAGAAAAAAGAAAGTCTTTATCATTTTAATCACGTCATATATATATATATATATATATATATATATAGTCACACAAAATAATTACTTTTGGTGATAATAATAATAATAATAATAGTAATAATAGTAATAATAGTAATTTTTTCCAATTTTCTTTTTCCTTGAATCTTTACATTCGAAAATATTTATGGATTATATTCGTGTGATCATTATTTTCATTTGATTCGATTCGATCTATCGATCACAGGTAATAAAATTTGGAGAGAATAAAATTTGTTGACACTCCGTAGATGATCCTGAACGTCATTGCAATGTCAACTATACATACATATATATATATATATATGTATGTAGGTATTGTATGTACGTAAGAGTGTATAAGACATCTAATCTCAGTTGTAAAGAACGTATTTAGATACATACGTACCACTCATAAGTTCGCACTCGTTTAAAAAGAGACAGAACGATCATTCATGATCGACGATAATCCATTTCAACATTCTATTGTTAATATGATAGTGATGATAGTGATCATAGATGTCCCTTAGATTTTCTTTCGGGAAAGAAAATTTTTAAAGTTACGTGGGTGGACTGTCATCGTGTAATGCCAAGGAGACATTTAAGTTTCTAATTTTATACGAAGGATGTGTATGTGTGCTTGCGTGTATTTCTGCTTGCGTATGTATTATTTCGATGAAAGCAAATTACGTGTGACTGTGATCTTTGATGTTAATCCATTTGATCAAGAACATGATAGGTCACAAGAGATCAATAATATTTTTATGAGAAAGAAGATAACTTTATGATTTGTTTAAACAATTTTTATATCTTTTTTTATCCAAGATATTTTTAAATATTAATTATTTAATAACAATTTATGTGTATATATATATATATACATACACATATATATATATACATAAATATATGTATATATATATATGTATACATATATGCATTTATAATAGTATAAGTCCTATTTTTGTTATTGTGATTTCAAGTATTACAAATAATATGAAGAAAATATTTTTATCTGTGATTCTTAGAGGAAATTATATTTAATTAAATTATCTTCCTTTTATTTTTTTTATTTATTTATTTATTTATTTTTCTTTTTTTGATATTAATTAAATTTATATCACTTTTAATAAAACTAATAGTTCATATATGTATATTGAATTATGAGTTGATAAGAAGTAGAAAGAAAAAAATGAAGTACGTATTTAAAGAAGAGGTATGCAACTTGTTGAAGCAAAATGGTGCATATGTATGTACCTACTACGTGTTCATCGTCGAGATCGAAATCAGTGGGAAAATTGCCAGAGAGATTTGAATAACGGAAGAAGATGCATTCTAGTCACATCAGACTTGACACTGTCTGTACTTTCAATGTCAAAGTGAAATCTTCCTATGAATCATTTACTATATATGTATATATATATATATATATATATATATATATATATATATTTATGTTTATAAATAAATAGAGAACATTTTTAAACAATAGTTTTTCTCTATAAGATGAATAAAAGCAAAGTAAAGAAAAAAAGCTTAACTTTAAATGAAGTCGTTCAAGTTTGACAATCATATCTAAGTTGTTTTGTTTGACCTTTGATCAAAGTCCAATACACACAATATATATACATATACATATATATATATATATATATATATATATATATATATATATATGTATATGTACTTTATTTAGCTGTTATTATTTATTAGCAAACGGAAAGAAGATATGTAAAGATTTACAAGTCATCCAGCGTAAACGAAAACCTTCAGTACAGAGACATCGTCTGACACTCGAAGGATCAAGAAAATTTTCTTTTGACATGTTTCAATCTTTCATGAATCAAGTTCATGATTGGATCAGACAAATCCGTGGGCCTTATGAATGGATGCATTTCTTCATCTTCATAAGATAAAAAAATCGAATTATCTTATGCTGGATAATATTTCCTGTGACACTTGATCGCAAGATTTTGAACGGGACCAGAACAAAATCAAAAATGTGCATACTTGGATACTTGCTCAAGGAATTATTCTACAATGATTTTGAGTGAGTCTTTATTTTTCTTTTTCTTTTATTTATTTATTTTTTTTTTTCTACATCCTCCATCTTCTTCCTTTCTTTTTTTTTCCCCTGACGATTTTATTACTCGAACAATCATTTTTATGGGCGAAAGTTTTCATCGTTAA